ATCTCATTCTAATAAATGACATTTTTATGGATAACTTAAACCTAGTATACGACTATCAATCAGTTCTAAACCAGTGCTTCTAGAGTACAAAATGTTTTGTCTTTTATGAGGTAGTTGGTGGTCGATATTAGGAAGTTGCATACACACATACCACAACAACAACAACAAAACAAAATAACTTCAATTGACTTCAAGATTATATCAACTCCTCTTTCTTTATTCCTTGTATTTAAAGCTTACAGGATTCGTATTTTAAAAAAATACTATTTTAGACTTTCTGCTTGCAAACATGCATCAAAATAACATACACCTAATCTGGACTAGAAGTAGACTTCTTCCAATATATTTTAAAATAAAGCTATTGTGAGTGTCCATTACTGAAGAGTTTTACACTAGGATCAAAAAGCTAATCATCACTTCTTAATTCTTCAAATGGTGTCAGACAGAAATAAAATTATCTTCATATCAACAATATATCGACTGTTAGTACAAAAAACAAAACAGATAAACATATCTGCATCATATTGTTAAACAAAAAGAAACTTCAAAAGATTATAAGGGGTATCAATTTTTACAGTAGATCTATTTCAATAAAAATTTATATTCCGGTGTACGACAATAAATTTTCAGTGATACTAGTGCTTGCAACAGTCAACTTCCATGATTCAATTGCAATTCCATATCCCGTCGTTGTATTTGATTCAGTCCAGAAGACTTGAGCTTCATTAAACGAAAGCTAGCTTAAACCCAATTTAACGAACCTACCTTTATATAAATTAAAAACGAACAGGTTCTGGCACAAAATAATCATTGTTAAAGAAGCCACAATTATTTACTACTTTGCATATGAACATAAATGGGGCTTTGCATTCTATAAGTGAGAGTTATAGAAGTAATATATACTACTTACATTAATTTTTAAATCAGCATAAGCATGATGCATATTTTCTAATAAATTTGGCATGAGCTCTTCTCCACCATTATTAAGCATTAATTCTTCATAAATCATCAACGCAGATGAACGTAAAGGAATGATATGTTTTTTAGCGTTTGTATGAAGTATACGATTTAGCAAGCAATTAGTAGCGCCTAAACGAATAAATACGTCACCATTTTGTACATGTGAAGTAACGGTACATTGTAAAAATTCAAAAAGATAATCGCTAATCTCTTTGAGTAATTCCAATGAACCTAGAAGTAAGAATAGATTTGTTTTTGTTTTAGAAAGAGTAAAATAGAAAAAGAAAACAAATATGAAACTTGACACTAAAAAGTATACAATAGTTTTATAGACAGGGGTTTTAGCATTATAAGACCTATAAATACATTTTCTTAAGATGATTCCCTCTGCTGCCTTATGATTCCCTGATAAGTTGATCTACACATATAAAAACGATCAATGTCAAGGCTGATGATTAAAAATTCCGTCCTGAGAGTTACCCAAGTCAATAACAACTACTGATTGGAATACGACCAGAGGTACTCAACCCAAGATATGACATCAAGTTTTGACGGTTGGAACAAAATGTGTAAGCAGATGCAGACTAGTTGTTTGGGATCCTTGATATCTAAATATCGCTATGATAATATATTGTGGCAAAATGAACCGATGCATGTGTGTCAGATTCTATACAGATTATGACTGGGAATAATTATCAGGTATATCTACAAATTGATTTGGAAATTTAAGATATTCGTCAGTAAGACGTTGTAGAAATTATTTACTTTCATTGAAATCATGAGCCAATCTACGTACGACCAAGATTGAGAACGCAGAAGCACTGGGTGGCCATTTCTTCCTAGTGTATGATTCAGTAGTGCACATCTACGTCCCCACATGTAGAAATCGAACCCAGGATCCAAGGTTCATGCGCAAGACCAGAGGTCCTGGGTTAGATTCCCATATGCAGTGTCGTGGATGCAGACTGCTGAGGAGTCCCGCTTGAGGACGAAATGCAGTCCAGTGCTTCTAGGTCTTAGATCGGCTCATGATCTCAATGAAAAGCAAATATATTCTCCAAAAAGTTAATATGTCATTAGATGAATCCTTTATCTAATTCAAACCGATTTGCATTGGAACGAGGTAGCTGAATAGTTAATGCGATAAAGTATGAGTGATTATTGTCTGTGTTAAGCAGTATTATAGGCAAACAAAAATAACTCGATGACAATACCAACGTTTTCAAAAGCTCTTTAACCATGATATCAATCAATAACGTAAACTAACAACACATATAATAGCTAACTACAATAGCTACCTAAGTCTCCATGAATCTTTTTAGATTGTTTATGCTACCACCTTGAACTACTATTATTGTTACTTATATGACTGATTCATTATAGTTTCCATTTCAATTTCAACAGTTTGTCTAGTCTATTAACAACCACCTAAAAATATACCATGTGGTTAATTATATCATGAAATCGTGTTTTTATTTTTGTTCTGATATTGAATAGGACTTATATTTATGATAATTTATGCTAGTAAATTGATTTATTCTATCCACTTTTCTCTTGTGAGACCAGATTTTATAAAACTACCCGTTATTTATGACGACAGTTTTGTTGATTCATTTTAGGGCTAATGTAATTGTAGTTGCAAGAATTTTAAGAATCCTAATTTTACAAACTATTTATAAACACTAATACACAACAGATATTTGATGTTTCATTAAATGTTAATTCAAATGCATTAATTGTCCAAAAAAAGAACAATAACGAACAGAATAAAGTAAGGTAGCGTAATAATAATAACAATAATAATAATAATAATAATAATAATAATAATAATGGGCGAAACGAAAAGGTACAACCAAAAGAATTCTTTCAGTTAAGGAAGACACAACCACTTTTTAGGAAGCAAAAGAAGGTTACAGCTGGATCGCCACTGGCTTCTATTCTGAGCCATATCTGATAACGTCTCAAGCCACTGTGTTGCACCATCTCTCGGAACACAGCCGGGGAGTCCAGAAGGACCAACAGAAACCAGTCCTTTACATACAGTGACTACCTCTCCTCTTTTTCCAACCAGTCCCAGAGTCGGCAAATAATGCTCGACGTGGAATTTTCTGGGACGACATGTCCAAGCCACTGAAGTCGGTGTTTCAAGAGGGTGACACCAATTGCCCGAACACACGATGCCGAACCTCTGCATTACCAACATGGTGTTGCCATTGGATGTCAGCAATCCCTCGGAGACAGCGATGATCAAACACAGAGAGTCGTCTAACATCCTCAACTCGGAGAGGCCAGGTTTCACAAGCATAGAGCAAAACTGCTCTCACCGACGCCTTGTAGATCCGACCTTTCACAGCCAGACTAACATTAAGAAGGCGCAAAAGATGGCCCAGATTGGCATAAGCCGCTCTGGCTTTCACTATGCCTGAATTGATCTCATCACTCACACCCCCACCAGCACTTATGCAGCTACCTAGATACACGAACTTCTCGACTACGTCTATCTGCTCACCATCCAGGGTGAGTACATGATTAGAATCCTGCCAGTCTTGTAGAAGTACTTTGCACTTCGAAGGTGCAAAGCACATACCATACTTACGGACACTGATTGCTAACTGGTTAAGTGCGGATTGCATGGCTTGGGCATTATCGCACAGTAAGACAATATCATCCGCTTACTCAAGGTCGAGAAGTCTTTCTCCAGGCAACAGATCCACACCACCATTACTTACACCCATCAGAGCTGTTTCCAGAATGTCTTAGACTGCAAGATTGAAAAGGAATGGTGAGGTTGGGCAACCCTGCCTAACCCTACTTCGTGAATGGAACAATGAAGAAAGGTGGTTGTATGCCCTCACTCTACCTGAGGTGTTTGTATATAGGGCATTTAGGATGTCAATAAACTTCTCAGGCACACTCATCTTCAATAGATGATCCCAGAGAACAGTACTGTCCAACGAACCGAAGGCAGCCCTGATGTCAAGAAACAACGATTGTTGGCCTTTGATAAGTATGGCGGTGTTCTAACATTTGGCGGAGGGTGAAGATATGATCAATACATCCTCGACCAGAACGAAACCCAGCCCGCTCCTCGCAAGTCAATCTTTCTCGGGTTTTGAACAACCTAAGAAGTATGACTTATCCCCCGATAGTTGTTACAGGAACGACGTGAAACGTCTTTAAAGACAGAGACAACTATCGACTCATTCCATGATGTTGGTACACTCTCTAGTTCCCAGGCATCTATAAACAACACAGTCAGTTCCTTGGCCAGAAAGTCACCAACATCTTTAGAATGGGCCGGAGGTAAGCCATCTGGGCCAGGTGATTTGTAACGCTCCAAGGGTTGAAGTTCCTTGCAGACTTCCGCCTCATTTGGTGGATCAGACGTCACCGGCCATGGAGGACAGGACAGTCCGACCGATGTTGCCGGAGCAGCAGGCCAGTTGAACTGCCCTTCGAAGAATTGTGCCCATCGTCCAAGGCGTCGATGGATGTCAGTGATTGGCATCCCGTCATCCTCACAGATTGTTTCACTCACACCAGACTTCTTGCTGCTAGTGGCTCGGATGAGTTGGAAGAGCTTCCGGTAGTTACCAGATGCAGCTGCTGCTTCCAGCTCATTATCACGCTCCGACCAACAGGCTTCTCGGTCCTTACACAAGCTTTGCCCGATTTCATTACGTAACATCCTTCGTTTGTGGTCAAACTCACGGTCAGCCTAAGTACACTGACGGGCATCGATGAATTGTAAGGAACTAGAAGAAACCCAGTGCTTATAAGCGAGACGTTTCGCGAAGCCGCAAGCGACTTTTCTCGCCATTTTCATGGCGTCACGCAATTGCAACCAGTGCTCATCTATACTTTTCTGCGAAATGGTAGCTAGCCTAGAAGCTCGGTTCGATAATTACTAGCAACAGAAATTGCAATCAGCTTGCTGACATCAATCCTTTAGTGACGATCACTTCGTTGGCCACTGAAATGTAAGATAAGATTGGCGCAGACCAAGGCATGATCAGAGTCCAGATAGATACTCCAGAAGGAGCAGCAGTCTTCTACACAACCACGCCAGCGGTAGCTGATCGTGATGTGGTCAATCTGAGTTCAGGCTTGAGATGCAGAGGGAGGACGCCAGGTGGCACATCGGCGATGAGTGTGCCGAAAGTTAATGCTAGCCAGAAACAGGTTGTGGTCTGTGCACAGTTGCAGCAGACGGTCCCCGTTATCTGACCTGCGACCAACGAGTCCCCATCGGCCACCTAAACGACTCTCTTCTGTGCCTAGACGCCCGACCTGAGCATTCAAGTCTCTGGCTAGTACTACAATATCTGTCGAACGCACTTTCTGGAGAAGAACAGTTAACTGTTGGTAGAATTCATTCTTGATTGCATCCGGGCTGCAATCTGTCAGGACATAGGCGGAGATGACGAAAAGACATCGTTTCTCACGCCGATTTCTTCTCACTTTGATGGAACTTTCTAATCTAACAGCACATAACCGAATGTTAATGGGGATCCAATCGATTAGTGCTGACTCAGCTCTAGGGCTTAGTGAGACACCAACGCCAGCAGGTCCAGACGAACATGCCACAAGGTTCCCGGATAAACGCATATAAAACAAGCTTTTTGAAGCGACAGATGGAGAGCGAATTTGTAGTACTTCACCAAAGTCTTGAATACGGGTCTCGGATAGATAACAAACGTCGATAATAAGACTTTCTAAAGACATAACTAGACCTATCTGTTGTCCGACCTGCATAAGTGTGCGAACGTTGAAGGCAGCCAGTTTGAATGATGCACGTGGTTTCAGAAAAACTGCTTCAGTCCTTGTATTCGGTGGTAACATACAATTTTCAACCGGACAGTGACTCGAGAACGTTTAGATACAGTCGAATTTCCACCAAAGACGAGCCGCTGTGTAAGTATAAAAGAGGGTGAATAATGTGGTAAATAATAATAATAATAATAATAATAATAATAATAATAATAATCATTTGATTGTTATTCGAAGCGAGAAAAGTAGTTTCCATAGATGATGCACGTGGTTTCAGAAAAACTGCTTAAGTATTCGTATTCGGCGGTAGCATACAATTTTCAACCAGGCAGTGACTCGAAAACGTTCAGATAGAACCGAGTTTCCACCATAAGCGAGTTGCTGTATAAGTCGAAAAATAAGGATACATAAAGTGGGAATAAAAGAGAATGAATAAATGACGTAGTAAATAATAATAATAATGTGGATTGTTTGACTGTAAATCGAAGCGAGAATAGAGTTTTCAGCAAATACCATCATTTTCATTATCATTATATTTTTGTGTGGGCTGTGATACTACCCGGGTGCCCGGACCGAAGCAGGTGATTTTCTTAGGAAGCCGCACCCCGAGCCTTTGACCTAAAGGTCTGACCCACAAGGCAGTGGAGCATCGTGAGAAGATGAAGTCCCATGGTAGCCGGTGACCAACGACTGGTTCATACGCCATTTGTTCCCGCAGGATACTGGAACCCATGTGCATCATTGGCTTTGGATCCGGTTAAAGCGCCGGACATTCGCTTCTCGTCCTCTCATTTTCGTAAACAACACCCCCGCCACGGGAAGGCAGTGAGTAGGACTTCCCTGGCAGAGGCTGTATACGCGTGGCCATTTGAAAACATTTCGAGAGGGGGGCGGGCCCACACCACTTTCGGCAATACCAGGGCATTTGAGGGCTCATTTCAATAAGCCTCAAGTTAAATGTACTTTAGTCAACGAAGACCCAGGTACGATAAACCAATTTATTGTTTCATGAAAAACCATATAGTAGCTTTGTAAAACATGAAAATTAAATATATTATTTGCAAATCTTCATCCAGTTGTCTTTTACATACTTCATCATTCTTCCAATACTGTTGTTGTTCCGATTGCGCTTCGTTTTCTCTTCTCCTTATCTCAATCTTCTGCTGGTAAGCATTCCACTTCCAATTCGTGCTACATACTACTTATGTTTGTCCGCATAAATAGTGCGAACCATATAACTACTAGTTTTACAAAATGGAAGATTTTAAGCATATATATTCATTGGAAACCTATGAAACAATTCTATCACTCAATGTCATTTACATAAATAACACCATGTGTTGGCCACGACCAACAATATTAATGATTAACATATAATTCAATGTTTAGTAATTCCTCAATTCTGAAAAGTAATCTGACTAATATAAAATCATAACGAAAACCGCCTACAAATCAAAACAAAATTGACAAAATAATCCGTTGAAACTATACTTTGATAGAATTAACTGATCATTTTGAAGAACTGATGTAAAACTGAGCGCAAAGTAAAACAAAAAACATGTATGCCAACTTATGCAAATCTCAAGAAAATTGATACGATTCCATATGTTACCTGTAAAATTATTAGTTTTGTTAACAATCTATAAACAAAAATATTTTAATATTTCAGTAAATAGATTTAAGTCACACAAGTAAACAACAAAAACACTATTCTAAATCTTTGTACATCCCGAATAACAATAACAGTTGAAATTGAACAAATTATGTCTTAAAACAATTGTTTAATTATTTCATGTAACTAATAAGTGATTGTTCAAAAAAAAAGATTAAGTATTTGAAATATACTCAGTTAGACTCTACAACTAACATGTAAAACACACTGACTATCATTTGCAATGAACAAATACTATAAAGTAAACAACCTACAAAAGATACAAGTAGGTTTGAAAGTGAATCATGAATGCGAATAGTTGATTGGCTAAACAAATATATTGATCGAATATATATTTAATGATATTTAATACTTAATCCTAATACGTTATATCTTATCTATTATTAACAATAAACATAATCAAATCGAAAGGACCAAGTATTTTACTTACAAAAATATCAAGAACTGGTAAACACATGTACAGAATAAAAAAAATTAAAAGAAATAATTTTTGTAAAAAGAAACCTACATGAGGCACTAGAAGTTGTAGAAGGGTTACAAAAGGTCTCCATTTTATCAATCAAATAATTTAATAGATCTATGCTCAATTCGATTAATCCAACATCATGAAATACATCCTTAAAAACTGGACTGATTCGTAGAAGTTGAATAAAGTGACGATAGGCAATAACCAGAGAAGGGGATAAACTGAAAAGTAAACAGAAATGAACAAAATAAATCAGAATACAACCTATTTTTACTGATAATATTGGAAGTAAGACCATCACGGAATTTGATACCAATAGGAATATTTTATTTTCCAAATATCATAACTGAGTATATGATACTTCTGAGAGAAAAGAAGTCTCGACCCTGAGATATAGATGAATATATTCCCTGGAAACTTCACGATAAAAACTGGTTTTTTTAAAGATTAAATGGACTACGAAGTAACAGAACATTCCCAAAGCGTGCCAAAATACACTAAATGAATATTGATTAATCATCTCTTCAATTCAAATGATTTTGTTTTGGCGCTTTATTATAACTAAGATTGTTACAAGCTTTATAGTAAAATATGTATACTAAAACACCGTACATGTAATGAGGCTGATAACGCAACTTGGCTGCTTGAACCTCAGTGGGTGGACCGAGTTTCGAATTCATGACTAGTTAACTGAATATCGAATCTCCAAACCAATGAGCCGCAACTGTGGAACATGTGTTTTTATTTTGCAACACTATGTACCAAAAATGTTGAGCAGAGTAACTTCTATTTTGCGTTACAATGTAAATCAGAGATCCACAGTTTATCACATTCGTGACTATGTGATGTTATTTGTTCCAATCCAACCTTATATATTCATTTTACCACTATCAAAACAGCTTTTATAATAAATGGAACGAATCATAAACAAATTGACTTCAGTTAGTTTAACATACTTTTGAGAAGTGTTTATTTTTAAGTTTTTCTGTTACAACTAATATAACCAAACACTAAAACAACAAAGGTTAATCCATCCAAAGAGTTATGTTGCCTTTCAGTTACCTAATGATGACCACTAACTCAGTACCAAAACGATAGCCATCAATTATTCTTTACCGAAAAATATTTTTAAGCTTATATAAATAACTCAATACAAAATGAATATGTTGATAAAGTTTTACACACACAGCCAATAGTAGGGTAGAAGTACTCGAAATCCACAGATCAACCAAATGGTTTAACCACTAAATATTAGAATAAACATCTGTCAATCATGCTTGCTTTATCAATATAACAGAAATTTTAAAATTACTCCAAAATCTAGATATAATTTTAGCCTCCAATCGTATTCCCATGAAATAAACAATAAAATGGGTAGCTAATCAAATATTCACTAACTTAAATAGTTTCATTTGAACGACAATACTACTGATTTCTTTCATGAATACATAGTGTAATTTGTTCACTAGTGCTTCAAGTAAATCAAAATAGGCCTCCTGATATGAAAAAAAAGAAGGAAAACGAGTGATTGTGAATTTTTAAAAATATTAACGTTACAGGCAAATGTAAACATAATCATTTATGAATAGCTACTTATAGTGTTTTTTGCATGAATCCTTAAGAAAACTATTAATAAAAGAAAGACTAAAGTTGGCAATAGCCAATGTTTATCAAAATAAAATAAAAGAAGACAAACGAACTTGATATTTTAAGCATTCAAATGATAGTAAAGTATCATTAATCTTATCGCTACTTATTGACATTGTAGAGAATGTTATCAATGAACTTATTCTTTAAAAAAACTGGTTAAGCGAAAGTAAATATTTATCATTTTAATAGAATAGTAAACCTTTAATGTAAACTGGTTTGCAATGATAAAGACTGTGCTTAGTAATTCATCATGAAATCTTATGACAATATCTCAAGGTAAGAAGATTGCATGTTAGTAAAACTTGACTTCATATTTCGATTCAAGTGAGATTACTTCTAGTTGAAATAAGCTAATGATAATATTGCCTAAAACGACAATGAAAGCTTTGCAATTAAAACCATTAAGGAATACAGCAACACTAAAATAAAATAATTTGCCCAAATAAAATTGTCAATTTAAACAAATAACATAAGCTTGATGTTCGTAACAAAATGAAACAATAAAGCAGATGCAATTATTTGAAAAGTTCTACTTATAAACACATGTATCATCTGCGTGCATATCACATATACAGAGTAATTCATAAGAAAGTCATAATTATTGATAGAAATTCCTAACCTGGATTTCATATGATTTTTCAAATATTTTTTTGGCAAAGACAACCAATATATTTTGTTGTTCTAAAATGAAATAATTTGCCAAATCCTGAAGAAAAATTGACTGGACTGTCTTCAAAACTAGTAAACTAAGATGATTTGTTGAAGATCTGTTGAACAGCGATTGTAATACATCAAATGCATACATGTTACGCACACTTTTTCTGGCTATGATGAAATCAAAAAACACAATAAATTATTTATTCAGTGAAGCATTTATGTATTTATTTTCTGAATATCAATCTGAATAACTTAAGTACGCCAATGAAACGAAATAAAAATCCAATTTCTTAACGATTATTTTATTTATTATTTATTTATTTAAACACATAAATATTGGTACAGGAGGGCACCAAATATATATGTGCCACACAAAACAATGAGAATTTGCAGAAAAGGAAAAAAAGTAAGGAGCGTAAAAAAACGATAACGAATATATTAGTGTAAGGTGGTGTAATAATAATAATGTGGGAAACAGAAACGTACACTCAGAAGAGATCTTTCAATTAAGGAAGAAGCAACCACTTTTCATGAAGAAAGTAAAAGGTTACAGCAGGATCGCCACTGGCTTCTATTCTGAGCCATATCTGATAACGTCTCTACTCGAGAACGTTTAGATAGAACCGAATTTCCACCACAGACGAGCTGCTGTATAAGTCGAAAAATAAGGATAGACAGAGTAGGAATAAAAGAGAGTGAATAAATGACGTAGTAAATAATAACAATAGTAATAATAATAATGTGAATCGTTTG